GAATCATTGGAATCAAGCTGGCTTCTGTATTATTTATGGGGTCTGGGCAAAACTACAAATGAATATCCCTACCTCCTGTTCTTCCTGTACCTGCTGTGACCCACACCTTAGTGTGTCTCACATACTAGCCTGCATATACATCCCAGCTCAGTCCACATGCCCTTTACACACAATCGGGGCCTAAAAGTGTCTGTATCTGTCACACAGTCCACTGTATGAGTACAAACATGGGAATTGAGGCTTATGTTGGTTGTGGATGTGGATTCAGAGTCATGTGGTCCAGGAAACCCTGGGCTATGGATTCCCAGAGCATGGTCTCATGACAGCTGCTGGTGTGTGTGTGTGGGGGTACTCTTAAGTTTCCAGGTGGGTCCTTCCTAGATGCCCTCGGACTCTTTTGCCCCCCAGGAGGCACATAGCCAGAGGAGATCTGAGTGAGGCCCTCTGCCTTAGTTTCAGTGAACACTGGTACTCTGCCCTGGTCTTGGATCAGTCCCTATGTAGAAGATGAGGGTCTTGGGTGAGGTCAGCCCAAAATTAGGACTGAAGAGAAAGACCATCTATTATGAGGATAAAGGGGAATCTAAATTTTCTGACTTCTAGTCAAGTTTCTTTTCCACTTAATCCATAAAAGATGCTCTATGATAAGAGTCTCTGTGACCTAGATTTTGCTAACCCAGGTATGACCATGTGGTTCCCGGGTTATGTACATCATAGGTTTAAGGGAAGAAAGGAATTCGTCCTGTGGCATGTTATCTCCTCTGGTATGTTTGGATGTACTTAACCAGAAAGAGCAAACATCTTGAAAGTTTATATCAGATTGGGCATTTAGTCAATTTATATAAGATATTGTGGAGAGTTTCAGCACACTGACATATGGAAAGAGATACATACATTGGTGGAATTTTTCCTAATACAATTTTTCTAAATCAAATCTTGTTCGATGTGATTTGGGGAGTGGGCTCAATATTTAAAATAAGTGAGAACATTTTTTTTCATAAAACATAATCCTTGACCTTACTGGTTTTAATATTTAGATATACTGATATTTGTATTGTGTTGACATATCAAGCTGAAGGAGTTTATAATACAAAAATTTCTGGAAAGCTCTGACAGGCAAACACATTTCCTGAAAATAAGTACCTCACTCATTTCCTCCTTACTGTCTCATTAGTCAAGTCTATCTAAGAATATAAGCATGACTCATGCATATAATCCCAACTCTGGGAGGCTGAGGCAGAAGGATGGCAAGTTCAAACCCAGCCTGGGCAATTTAACAATCCAGCAAGATACTGTCTCAAAAATTAAAAATAAAAAGGGATTTCTCTCGTGGCAAAGGCCCTGGGTTCAACCCCAGGACCCTAATACCAAGAATAAAGAAAAATCGAATCTCAAAGTTGATTTAATAATGAGTATTAAAAAGAACAGAGGTGCAGAAGTCAGACATCCTTTTTCATGTATTCTGGTGCTGAATCTCTCCTATCCACTCTACCTTCTGCCGAGGTGGAGGCTTGTATCTTCTTAACCTGTGGTTTCTGGGCTGTACCCCAGAACAAATGCAAATGATTCCTACTGAGTCAGCTTGGGAAGTGGAAGGTAAGCATGGTTTCTGAGGCCAGACAAGGAAGAACCTTCAAAAATAGGTCAGCAGTGTCCCTACTCTTCCCAGTCAAAGTGCTTCTGCTGCCAGTGCTTAGTGCAGGATGGCCTGGATTATACTACCAAGAAGGTAGACAGAGGCTAGAGAAGGGCCTGGGGTGTCTCTAGTTTAGGGGCTTAAGTACAGAGGGCCTGAGGGGAGCTCTAAGGAAACCCTCTCTAAGGGGATATCCTTAGGTAGGGTAGACACTAAGTGAGAGGTAACATGAGCTTTCTCACTCTGGGGGCTTTTGCTCACTGTGGGGAGTCCCCTTACCCCTCTCCTCCCTTTTAAATTCCCCAAAAGCCCAGTGGTACTCCCTGACTTTGTTGCTACCCTTTGATCACAGTCCCCAACTCTTAATCATCAGAGGGAAAAACCACAGTAACGGGGCAGCTGAGTCACAGGCACATGATGGAGGGCTAGGAGGTAAGGGGATGGCACTCCACTGGGTGATGGTGCAGTCTTCCAGAGCCCTGTATCTTCCCTTCTATACTTGGGGTCTGTCCTTCTGGCTTTCTCCATTTTTTCCTTGTTTTTAGCGATTATTTCTGCATTAGAGAAAAGATGCAGCCATCCCTCTGTTTACATGTATATCAAGGTTGATGTTTTATCTGTCTTTTATTATGTGGTTATCTACTGTGTCCTTGGGTGTGGTGATGTGAGGAGTTAGAAAGCTCAAAAATGGAAAATCTTTAATGCTCAGAGTAGCAGATGAATACAGCTTGCCCATTTGCATTTTCCCTTTCACTCTGACTCAACTTCCCCTGTCCCCACCCTACTGCCCCTCCACCAGCCTCACCAGCCTCACCCACCGACACACCCTGTCTGATCTACAAGGGTTAACACTTGCCCACACCCAAACTAGAAGGAGAGGAAAGGCATTTTTAGATCTGGAGAGAGAAAGTAGGAGGCTGTTCTGAACATTTTGGAGTCCTGTAGCCAAAGATAGAAAAGGGAGACTAGAGACAATGCTATTTGGATCTAGGAGAGGACCAGGATCTAAAGGAGAAACTTAGGGGGAACCAGACTGTGTCTTGTCACCAGAACAACCCACCAGTATCTGACTTGTCTTCTAAGTATTATGGCACATATATGATATGCCAGGCACACACCATAAGTACTTGGTCAACATCTGTTGAATGAAACAAAAATCCGCTACAGGATCAGTGATAATACAGTAAGAAGCAGAAAAAGAAATTTGAGCCTCCCGGGCCTTATTTTGTCCTCATATCAAAGAGTGCTGAAGTATGAAAAGAGGGGAAATCTCTAGGGACTTTGACCCCTTGGGCAGGAAGTGAAAGAAACCCCTGAGTCCTGATTTCAGAGAAATGTCATTTGTCATCAGCCCAAGAAAAGGAAATTTTTCTTTCCAAAGACCACCACAAGCCCTTGCTGGGTTTGCCCCCTTCAGAGCTGGATGGGAGGATCTGAGTCACACACACACACACACACACACACACACACACACCCACCCAGAGTCCTCAATGGCAGCCCAAATAAACAGGGTTCATTCCCCACATAGCTAGTAATGCTGCCCAGTACTGGGCCAGGGAGAGGGAGGAGGCATCTTCTGACCTCCCTCTCCTTGGAATGCCGATGTTTCCATCTCTCTCTCTCTTTTCTTTTTTACTGCTGAGGTAGCAGAAATAGCTTCTAGGTACTATACCTCTACTGTCACCTCTAATGTCATGTGAATGGTGCTATGTACTTAAAAACAACTTTCATATTCTTGTCATTTCATCCTCATCCCCACCTTCAAATGAGGTAAGCAGAGATTATCCTCATTTCATGAATGAGGTAACTGAGGCCCAAAAGAGGCATCTTGCCCAAGGTGACTTAACTAGTAATGGGCAGAGATGAGACTCAAATTCAAGTCTGATTATACCAAAGTCCTTGTTGCCACAGATTTCACAAATGAAGAGGCAGGAGGTTAAGATGCAGAACATCTGGGTTCTGGAAGCTGAGTTGCGGTCTCTCCTGCAGGTGTAAAGCATAGACAGGGTCATACAACCACACCCCCTGGGGGACCGTGGCAGACTGATACCTGGGACGTCCAATGGAGGACTGAGGCCAGGGGCGGGGCTAGCTTTGGGGGAGGGGGCAGGAATCAGAACAGCAGTTCAGAGCATGTGGTTCCAGGAGGCAGCTACAACCGGTAAGTGTTCCTCAGCCAAGGCCTTTCTTCCATTATGCTCTCTTGCTCTTTCTGTTCACTATAACCCTCTCCTGAGACATCCAAGTAGTAAACCTCTATCCTACAATAATTACTCATGGAGAACCTGCACCCAGGACTAGGCTGGGTGCTAAAATATGTAGGCTCTGTTTCTTGTGGTATCTGGGTTTCTGGTTCTCTTCCTAAAAGTGGTGGCTTTGATGTGCAATAAACTGATTTGCTGGATTCCTTCTTCTCACTTTTTGGCATATAAAAAATAACATTACACAATGTCTGTGTCCTAATCCTGAGAGGGAATAGCCTCCTCCTGGACAGTTCCCATTTCCCGTCTTTCCACTTCTCCAATCAAAAACCTCTCTCCATCATTGGATCAGGAGGAGCCTTCTCCCCTGGCTTCTAAATTTGCCATCTTAACTCACTAGATGGGAGTCCTTGTTCTCTTCCAGCTCCTCTGAGGATGTGTTTTAGAAGCTTCAATTTTAGGAAGATGACTTACTGATGCCTTAGGGTCTGCTTCCCTGCAGCCATGACCTGGTCTTGCTGCCCTGACTTTCCAGATGATGGGCTCCACATGATGTATTGCTGGAGGAGGGTCCACTAGATTTTAAGCTCTCCCATGATGCTCTATGCCTAAATGGCAGGGTTGACTGAGTTCTGTGATAACCCTGCCTGAAATGAGGAAAGCCCAACCTGCTGAGAGAGCTTTCTCTGCAGAAGGGTTTGGAGAAGCAGAAGTATCTATGACTGCTATCCTTTAAACCATGGGTTCCCATCTACACTAGTGGGTTTTTTTGTTTTGTTTTTAGTACCAGGGATTGAACTCAGGACCTTGTGCTTGGGAGGCAGGTGACAGCACCACTGAGCTAAATCTCCAGCCTGTTTTTTTTTTTTTTTAATTTATACTAATCTTTTAAAAACTGCTTTATATTTCTATTAATTTCCTGGCTCTTGCTCTTTTAAATTCTGATTTTTATCTATCTTTTAAAAAAGAGGCAGGTGAGCACCACTGAGCTAAATCTCCAGCCTGTTTTTTTTTTTTTTTAATTTATACTAATCTTTTAAAAACTGCTTTATATTTCTATTAATTTCCTGGCTCTTGCTCTTTTAAATTCTGATTTTTATCTATCTTTTTCTTTTTCTTTTTGGTACCAGGGATCATCCCCAAACTTGGGAACTTGTGCGAGAGACAGGTGGTAGCACCACTGAGCTAAATCCCTGGCCCTCTGGTTTTTATCTAATTTCCATTTTCTAACACTACATCCCTACTGCTAGCTTCTGTTACGCCTCTGGATAAAGTCTAGATCCTCTCTTGGGTTACTTAATTTGCTCCATTTGTGACAGACAGCTCTGATCTTGACCTGTAACTCAACTCTTTCTCTCCTCACCTCCACAGGCTTGAGAACATGCTGTTCCTCCCTCCTCTTTCTGCCATGGACCCCACACTGTAGTCTTTCTCTCAGTCTCTGAAATTGGTAATTTAGGCAAGGCATAATGCCTTTGTCCCCCACAAGACTGCTTAGCCCTTATGGCTCTGATCGGTTGGTACGGCTTGCAGCCAGTCTCCGGCCAGCACTGTGTGATACCCTGATCACTGTAGAGGGCCAGGAGTTCCCAGCTCACAGCCTGGTGCTAGCAGGTGTAAGCCAGCAGCTGGGCTGCAGGGGCCAGTGGGTTCTGGTAGAAGGCATCAGCCATTCCACCTTTGCCCAGCTTCTGAGTTTTGTTTATGGGGAGAGTGTAGACCTGCAACCTGGAGACCTGGGGCCCCTCGAGGAGGCAGCCAGGGCCTTGGGTGTGCAAGCCCTGGAAGAAGCCTGCAGAAAGGCTCGAAGGGACAAGACTGAAGAAAAGCTGGATCCAGGGCTGAAGAAACATCAGGAGGAGCCAGAGGAACCCACAAGAGATTCTGAGAGAGGACTGGGGAGCCTTGGAAAGAAGCAAAACCCAGCTAAGTTTTTTAGACTTGGTGGGAGAGAACAGAAGTTGCACAAGCACAAGGCACCAAGAGAGAGCCCTGAGATGACAGGGGCAACACAGGAGTTTCAAAGGGAGATGAGATCAAAGAAGGAGAAACTCAGCCAAATTCCTGTTAGCCACAGGGAAGCAGATGGGAAACAAGGAGTAGTCCTCAGGGTGATAGAGAGCCCAGGGAGCTCTGAGGAAAGTCTGAGGGCATTCCCTGGTCCCCTTCCCCTACCAGGTTCCCTCCAAACCAGAATCATCCCCAGCCCCTGGTGGGCTGAGGCCCCCTGGCTGGGGGAAGGCCAGCCTTCCCTATGGAGCATCCTGCTGTGGCCACCCAGATATGGCGCTCCCTTCCCCCACAGTACCCCCAACACTGGAGCCTGGCAGGAAGTCTGGCCTCAGGACCAGAGGTGAGTGAAGGACCTAGTGGAAGACTGTCAGGATGGGAGGGAGTGGCCCTGAAGAGGCAAACAGTTGGGTGGAAGCACCACATCCATTATCTCTATTGTGCATTTCCTGAACTGAGGATGGGACAAGAAGCTCCCACCACAGAGGAAGCCAAGGTCCAGCCCCCAAGGACTCAGAACACCTTCATGAGGAAGGGGCCAGGGTTGGCCAGGCTCCCAGGTTTTTCTAAGGCTATAATTCTCCCCAACCCCACCCCTAGGATCTCACTGACCCTGAACCACCCGAAAGGGCTCTGGAGTCAGAATCAGTTGGTCTCCTCCAGCCCCTCCTTAGGTAAGCCCCTCACTGTCCTGAACACAGGGATCCTTCCCTGGGGCTGGGCTCCAAGAGTCCAGCCTGAGCTCCTTCTCACTCTCCTCTCTCCAGGTTCCCACCCCCAGGTCCCTTTGCAGCTCAGCCCCGGGGAGATAGAAGAGTCTGGGCAGGCCACAGGTGAGTAGGATGAGAGCATTTTTGCCTCAGCCCCAGAGGAGCGCCTTATGTCTTGCCTGGATATTCCAGGAATTTGGCTGTGGGATTCCTGGCCCTGCTTTGCTTTGACTTCTCTATCCACCCGGGCACACGGGCAACCTGTGTAGGTCAGGACAGCACAGCAGGCGGCCCATCTCACCAACACCCTCCTCTGCCCCCTCCTGCTCGGCCTCGGCCCTATTCTTGCTCTGTCTGTGGAAAGAGGTTTTCACTCAAGCATCAGATGGAGACGCACTACCGAGTCCACACAGGTATGGGCGCCGTGCTCAGTGTGACTCCCTCTCCCCCGCTCCGGCGCAATTCTCTCCTTTACTCGCTCTGTGTAACCCTAACTTGACAAGTCTTTGCCCCTTCTTTTCTCTTCTCTTGGCCTCCCCTCCACCCGCCCTAGGAGAGAAACCCTTCTCCTGTACCCTGTGTCCTCAGCGCTCCCGGGACTTCTCCGCCATGACCAAGCACCTGAGGACGCACGGGGCCGCTCCATACCGCTGCCCTCTGTGCAGGGCCGGGTGCCCCAGTCTGTCCTCTATGCAGGCACACATGCGTGGCCACTCGCCCAGCCAGCTCCCGCCGGGATGGACCATAAGCTCCACTTTTCTCTACTCCTCCTCGAAAAAGTCCCGGGCCGTGAGCTCTCTTGCTCCCTCCTCTTCTACCACCTGAGCTTCTCAGGCCTCAGCCAAAAGTCCAGTGAGTGAAAGGCCAGCCATCTCGGCACTGCTGCTCCAGCGGCCTGGCAAAATTCCGTCGCAGAAGCACCACAGCACTGGCGCGGAGAGTCCTCTCCCGAATAGCTGAGAGTAGCAGAAGCTTGGGCCAGCCTTCCCGGGTAAGGCCAGGACACTGACGTTTGCCGAAGAGACGATCAATTGTACGGGTTCTGTCGGTTGCATCATCATAATAAAGAGTTTCCGGTGCTGTCTGGTAAGCACTGGAAAGAAAGACGAATCCAGACTTCAGTCCGTGCTTGGAGACCCCCAACATAAGCCAAGTCTCTTGTCCTGTAGCGGCCTCTGGTGGTCGTGCGTCCGCTAAAGTCACCGTCCACTTGCAGGTGCGCCTATTCCTCCTCCGGAGGCATTGCTCGAAAAACTTGTGTCCTGGCAAACTTCACAGAAGGCCCGGGACTGGGGTAGAGGTTGGTTGTGAGAACCAAAGACATTGGCCCCATCCACAGCAATACAGCGCGCGGGGGGAGCTGATCTAGGTACGCCCGGTGCAGGGCTGGAGAGGAGCGCAAGCTCCGGCTCTTTCGGTCACCTGCCTCTAAGCACAAGACCGGTGAGATGCGCCTCTCCGGCACCTTCTCTTCTTGCCTACAGAAACACCTGAGAATCTCGCTGGAAACCGAGACTAACCCTTTGCGTCGTTCCTTCCCGAGCCCATGTCTCCGAGTTTCCTAGCGCCGGACGGGTTCTCAGGGTCCGAAGCCCGCGGCACCCTGGGAGCGGTAGTCCATGCTGGCTTCTGGCTCCGACCAGAACAATGGGAGGAGTCTGGGGCGAGGACCACACCTTCCAGGGACCCGGAACTAGCTTTCCCGATTCTGGTCGGAGACCTGGGAGTCCCCGTTCTTGCTCCCCAGCCCCCGGCAGAAGGAGCAGTTTATCTAAACTACATTTCCCGAAGGCCTCTGCGGATCGCCCCGCCGCGGCCGCGACGCAGGGTCTATGCTTTCCAGGTGGGGTCTTGAGAGAGCAGCTGCCGGCCCCAGACTCCCGGTCCCGTGGTGCCCCGCGGCGGCGCTAGTTGTTGTCGGACGCAGCAGCC